GGGGGTCAGGCTACATGATCTGTTCAGGTCCCTCCTGACCCTAGCTACTATAAGACCTGCAAAATGTGAAAGGGTTCTAAGATATGTATATAAATACCAAGGAAGTATGGAAACATGAATAGTGGAACGAACTCACATATGCAAATTGAGAAAATATAGCACAGGAATGAAAAATGTTTATGTCTACTAATTATATTATTTATTTATGCAGTCAGAGGAAACATAACCTATTCTTAGTTAGGAGGAAGAATGGAAGTGGTCTTCTCCACTGGAAAACTGTATTTCTTCATGCAATATTATAAATCCCAACTGCCTGCATTATTGTTTTATGCACTGGAGTATTACATATATCCAGACTAGAAGCCCAAATGGCAATATTTTAATCTTTTAATTAGTTGAGATTTCCAGAGTTAAACTTCTAGGTTTAACTCTGTGGAGTCTTTAAATTACATCATTTTGATAACTATCTTGCTCATCTCACTAACCATCACTTAAATTCAGGAGCCGCTAATATTATGAACTGCTGGAATTAGAAAACAAGTTTTCATACCAACTTTTAAATAGGACTAAATGATATTGATTGCTAAAATTATGTTTAGAATGTATTTTATTTTTTGCAAAGATGTTTAGTTGGCAATACAAATGCTTTCACAACCACACAGAACTTCAAAGCAATGTTTCTGTAATAGTAAGATAAACAAACAAAAAATCTGCATCCTTAAAATGATGAAGATGAAAAAGAAGCATTAAAAAAAGTCATGCTGTAATATAAAATCACTAAAAGTGAAACAGAGTAATACTAGAATTTTATAATCCATTTTGAAATACTACATACAGGAAGTCCTTGACTTACAACATTTATAAATTGACATCCTGTTTCAACGTTTTCACGTCAGTTTTGACTTTACAACGCTTGATCTGACGCAATGCCACGCCAGTGAACAAGTTTGCCGCATTGCCCATCTCCCTGAAGAACATCTGTTCAAATTTCCTTGGACACTTTGTTTAAGAAAGCAGACAAGACTCCAGAAAAATTTGCAGCCAAGACTCCTGAGAAGACTCCAGTTAAGAGCCCTTCAGAAAGTCCAACCAAGAGCCCTTCAAAAAGTCCAGAAAAGTCACCTTAAAGAAGTCTTTCCAAATCGATACGATTGCTATTTACAATATAAATACATTAATGTAGCTATACAACTCATCTATTATTGAGCGAGTACAAAATTTTGGGTTATTTTTGGTGAAAATAGGGTATTGGGCCATGGTTCAGGAACCAATCCCACATTTATAACTTTGTTTCCTATGGGAAAAATCGGTTCCGAGTTACAATGTTTCGACTTAAGACACAGTTTTCAGGAACCAATTGTGTCGTAAGTCCAAGGACTGCCTGTAAATCTTGTCAGGACTTTTGAACAGGTGCTTTTGAACAGATTTAATTAGAATAGATTTTAAATCCATATTTTCAGTAAAGAAAGAGTACCATTAATCAAAATATTTGATAAAATAATTTGGCAAAGCATACTTAAACTTTTATTAAAGTTACATTTTAAAACACTATGTGAATAGGACTTACCCCATCCAGGTGGAAGAGGGCCAAGAGGATCAAATTCTTTGTTCTGTGTGGAAGTAAAGTCTTGGTTCTGCAGATTACAGACAGAAACCATGCATTAATAATTACTAAATGCCAACAATTTGATTTCCAGACCTCTAGTATAGCTATCATATATAATTAAATAAATACATTCTTGATAATTTAACATGGGCAAAATTGATCAAAGGATTTTTTCCATATAAAAGGCTTAGATTCATTACAAACTGTTATTTCATTTGGGATCTTTAACCTTTTGGAATAAAGAGTCCAAAGCCATGGAATTATCTGTACTACTCCTAACTATTACTAAATAATTGTAACTTCAGTAACATATGACTAAATGGGTTTAAGCCCTTGTTCTTTGAAAAGTGCCTACAACACACAGAAGGAAATCAGGACTCAAAACCCAGGATATATTAAAGCTCAACAGGTAGGGAATACTATTCTTTGGGTTTTTACAGCTTCATCTAATTCCCTTTACCATTCTGTTTTGTGTGCAAATAATAGTTAAGAAAACAGATCACTTTCCTTGATAAACTAGCTTTAAGCAGTATCACTAAACGTTGAAATCTATCATTCACTTTTGATCTGCATCAGATTTTGATTTATTTCAACTTCCCTTGCTTTTCCTAACATTTACACACTATTATTGCATTTTACCTATTCAAAATGCCCCAGTTGCTTTGTCCAGGTGAATTTTCTATCATGTTCTTCCATTAGCACAGCATAAGTAAGTGATTAAGTAATTCTACTTAAGTTAAAAACCCTGGGAACTGTATACAAATAGTTACCCTGAATAAGTTTCCAATTGCTATATCATCTACTTTGACAACAGCTGGTCTTAAGACCAGCGGTGGGCAAAATACAGCCCGCAGGCCATATCCAGCCTGCTAGGCTATTCTATCAGGCCCGTGGGGCCCCTAAAAAAATTGAGAAAATTAATATTCATCTGTCCTTGGTTCCTGGCAGGCACAGGCAGCCCCACATGGGCTGCGAGTGGCTGCAGTGCGGGGAGCTGGCCACGGGGCAGGGGAGGGGACACTTTTCCCCACGCTCAGCACCAGCTTGTAACCCCAACCCCACTGCCAACCTGGGCCCTGAGCGGCTCCAGGCTCACCTGGGAATGGGGGATGCCAGATAACAAAATATGCCGGTTAATTGAGCGGCATGGGCTGTCACTTCTCTTGCCACGTCTGGGGCATCCCGCCACCCTTCCCATGCCATTGCTATCCCTCCTGCTGAATCGCTGCTGGGCCCTGCAGGATAGGGAGGGGGGGCCCTGCACAGCCTGTTATGCCCCTGAGCTGTGGGGGCTCGGCAGCACAGGCTGCTTTGCCCTGGGCCATGGGGGCTCGTAGAAACTGGAAGTGCCACAGTGGGCACTTCTGGTTTCACTTTATCTTATAAGCCGGCATGCTGGTTAATTGAGCATGCCGGTTTGTAAGATGCCAGTTAACAGAACTTTTATCAGACAATGGTCTTTGCCACAGACTTTTCACCACCTATATTCAATTAACACACAAACCACTGTATTGTGTCCCACTTCTGATCAGTCTATATGCATAACTACAAAAGCAAGAAAGAGAGTTAAGGTTGCCATTTACTTCCCATATCCAGAAAGATGCATCTTATTATTAATATATAATTATCATATAACACATGGAATGTGTTGTAATCTTAAGTCTGGCAACCTTATGGTGGGAAGCTTCTGACACCTTCCTTCCTAAACCCATGTACATACAGTTTCACAGAAGTGTGTGGAAGCAAGGGGGGAAAGGGAAAATGTTTGATTTGCTTGATATACAGTGGAGACTTGTGGGTGGGATTTGGGAAAGGGGATGCTCCTCCATAATACACTTTTAGTTTATACCAAAATACAGTTCTCACCCCATATATGAATCTCTGATTAAATTGTTGCATAGCTCCTTGAAGCTGACTGCGTTGCAGTTGCCATTGCTCATAATTCCGGACAGATTCCAATGTGGGTCGCTGCCATGTTGTTGTTCTAGTGAAGTGATCAACATAATAAATTCTTCCCATGTTGTCAACTCGTCGTTCCCAGCTAAGGAATGCAAACAAGGGTCTCAACAGTATGCAGTGACCTCAAGGGCTCAGAATCGATTTTAGAGTCAAGTTAGTGACAAGGCAAACAGAAGATAAGTCTGGAAAAGGACATGGAGCTCTCTATCCTGGGCCTGTCACTGTCTCTCCATTCAATTTCTGGTTAAAACATCTAAAGACCTGGAGAAACTAAACTCTAGAATGAAAGATTTAGTTTCACTTGGTTCTACTGAACCAACCAGGTAGTCATCCCATTTGCAGTTCCTCAAGTACTGCAAGAACTGCTTTACACACCTATCAGGTTCTAGTAAGTCATTACTATTATTATTTAGTGATAATCTTTAGGGCTAGGATTGATGCACAAAGTAATTGCAGTCTATTGGCTTCTCTTAAAAAACCCCCCAACTTAGAATAACCTTTTCAGATCCCTTTGCATAAGATACTCAGTCATGCTCTTGGTACAATTCCATTTTGACTTCACAAAACCAAAAGAGTGCTCATATTGTAATTGGTTTTCACTTCCTATCAACTGAAATAAAATTTAACAAAAATGTCAAGCTGTCATATGCTAACGCGAATATTATGTTAATGAAGTCTCCAGGTGAGAAGAATTGAAACCACCAAGTTTACAGTCACTAGTTAACCTAGTAAAAATATTGCCAGGGGATTTGTTTCTCTTTGATACAGTATAAGCTCATAATTCCGGCATCCTTAGGACCTAGCACCTATCAGAAATTTGAAAATTCAGGATTTTTTAAACATAACGAAAGTGCATAGCCTGGTGTAGCTGGTGAGCTGGACACCGGTTGGGGGGGGGCTTTGCACATGGGGGGAGTTGCCACCATCTACCACCCCATGTCGCTGCTCCACATGCTGCTAGTCCTCCCCCACCCCCAACCACTCTGCAACTGGCCACTAGGGGTACACCGGTCAAAAAAGGTTGAAAACCCCTGATACAGTGCATTTTTAAAAAGTGCTGGATTTTTGAGAATTCCGGAATTTTGAAAACGAGATTTTTGAAGTTATACTGCATTAGTTCTCACTGCTGTGCTGTGTGTTCTTCTTTTATGTAGGATGCATGAGACTGTAAATCCAAGATAAATGAAGTGCAACCATAAAATTCTTTTGTTTCCCTATTTGTTTTAAAAAGATGCAAAGAAACTAAGAAAAGAACAAATATGATCCTGTTTAAAAGGTGTCATTGGTTGCTGGACTTTGAATTGAAAGAAGCTCTACTCTCTCAAAGCTCTACTGAAGATGTAGATGGAGAATGGTAACCTTAGGCACAGTAACAGGATGAAAAACAGAAAGATCAGGAGATAGGGTTAGATAGGGAAGTACTTATTCCAAGAAGTCTACTGAGTATATCATTATTTGGGACTAAGGACCTTATGCTATTATTTATGGTAACATTAGCTGTGGGTTTTTTTGGCTTTCTGCATGATAGTGTTGCCTATTTTCTTTAACCTTGACATGCCTAAAGGTCCATTTTTCTTTATCTGTGGACACAGCTGCATAGTCTGACAGGGGTGGGCAATTATTTGGGCCCCATGGGCAACATAGGAAGTTTAGCAGAGCTGTCGTGGGCTGGGTCACCTCCTGAGCCCCTGCAACAGCTCACCAAAACTCCCTCTGTGGGATGGGGCTGTGGGCAGGCAGGGAGCTGGAGTGGGAAGGGGGCTGGCGCCTTGGATCAGCAACTCCAGGTCAGGGGTGGGTGGCAGCTGCAGCAGGGGCAGCACGGCCGGGGCCCCCACTGCCACCTCTATTGTCTCCAGGCTGCCCTTCTATCCTGAGAAGGGGCTGGAGCTGCTGTCCAGCTTTGGTGTTGGTAGCCTGGGCACAGAGGCAGTAGTGGCCAGGGAGAAGCCAGTGCTGAGCACCAGGAAAAAGAGGGACCTTGCAGCAGTTGCAGCCACCTTTCTTTCGCTGCTGCCAGAGCCCTTCTCACTGAAGCTGCCCAGAGTCTGTGGGCTGGGGCAGCTGCAGTGAGAAGGACCCTGGCAATTGCAAAGAGGAGGTGGCCACGCCTACAGCCAAGTCCCACTTTTTCTCGGTGCCCAGCTGCAGCTTCTGTCTGGCTACTGATGCTGAAGCTGGGTAGTGGCACAAAGTTGGGCAGTAGCTCTAGCCCTTCCTTGGGGTAGAAGGGTGTCTCCGTCTTCATGGCTGCCTGCCACTGCTGCCACCAGTCATCCTGGCTGTGGTGGATGGGTCCAGAGCGGGTGCTGCATGACCCGCAGCCAGGGCTGTGCACTCAGTCTGGGGCTCAGGCTCTGCCTGAGTGGGTCTCAGCTGGTCTCCATGGAGACCCTGGAACCTTGGGACAGTGACAGCACAGGCCCAGGGCAGAACAGTAATCTGCTCCCCAAAGCTCCCGGGCTCTGCCCCGGCCCTGTGCTGTCACCACCCCAAGATCCCAGGGTCTCTCCAGCCCCACCCACCCATCTAGCTCCCAGATGCCACTCCCTGTCAGCACATGGTCCCATAGCCCATGGGCCATATTCTGCCCACCCCTCCTCTGACAGCAGAAGTGAATTCAGATTTTAAGTTGATAACTATACTTCCTTTCCCCCCCATACCTTCCTTCCACCCCTCCAATTCCAACAAGCACATAGTGTAGATAAGACTTTTGTTTGCCTTTTTTCCTTTTGTAAAGACCACTGGCAAAACAAGAGGAGGAGGGGAAAAATGCTTAGCCTCAGCTCTTATGCGCAAGCACATATTACCTGTATAGGGGTAGAGATGGTCAGAAGATTCTGTGCTTAATATCTTACATTAACTGGGTCACTATGCTTCCTGGGAACTGTCTACACTGGAGCGAACTAATGTGCTTGCACATGCTAATCTGAGACTCCACAAATGTTTTTAGATTATCCTAAAGCACTGTTTCTCCAGGAAACCAGACTTCTTATCCAGACTCACCCTGGAGGAAGAGGTTCTGGCCGATCCCAGGTTGTTCTTTTTTCAACATGATCCACGTAGTACACCCGACCATGCTGGTCCACTCTTTGTTCCCACCTGAAAAAACAGGTAAAAAACTGTTCCAACAATGCATATGCTGTTTAAAAATAACAGAAGAAATACTTTCTTAATAACATATTTGCCCTGTAAGCCACTTTTAATAAAACTAGAGCAGTGAATAGGGAGAAGCAAACAGGACAGTTTGCAAGCAGTTTGTGGGGAAAGAGGAGGAAGGGGAAGAGGAACCAGGCACCACATCCTGCTTTGGGAAGGTAACTGAGCCAGGGGTGCCTGTGTGCTCAGCTTGCTGAGGTTCAGCTGTTTGGTGGGTGTGTGCGCTTGGGTGTGTGCTCTGAGCAGCTGAGCGGACTGACTGCTGATTGATTACTGCCTGGGTGTGACAAAGAGCACTAACAAAGGGACCTTCCAAGTCCAGGCCCAGGAGAGGTATATAAGGAGGCAGACCCAAGCCACCAGGGGAGCAGTAAATAGGGAGAAGCAAACACAATAGTTTGCACCAGTTTGCAGGTCAGTTTGCCACCCCTCTCTTTGAAGGGGAGCCTGAAAGGCAAGATTCTTTTTCCCCCCTATGTAATTAGGACTAACTACAAAGTTTAATTTTAGCAGCTAAAATTCAGCAGCTAGACAAAGATTCAAGCCTATTATTTAAGTAGAGTCTAGAGTGAGGGGGAGTTTGCTTGGAAACTCTCACACATTCCTTCACTGTAAGCTTGCTGAGAGGAAAGAGGTTGGAGGGAAAAGTGAACTTTTCATATCAAGGAACAGCAAACAGGTGAGCTACAGAGGAGTTAGCTAGGGAAGGACTGCTTGGAGAGAGGGGTGCAAAGTAGAAGACCCAGAGACATGGCTGGAGGATGTTGCAATCCCATAGCCACTGCCACTTCCAGCTCTTCCTCTGCTTCCACCTATGAGGTGTCTGTCCAAGCAGGACCACACACCATTGAGGCTTCCACCCAGGTCCTGGTTTGGTGCTGTGCAGACTGCAGCTTGCAGATTCCTTCCCGCGCCGGCCAGGTGGGGGAATGCCTGCAATGTGACTGGTGCCTTCTGATGATGTTCCTTAGGGAGAAGGGAAGAGATACAGGAGGAGGTAGCAAAGCTCTGAAGCATCCTTCATCATGAGGACTTCATAGATTTCTTACTGGAGGAAACCTCTAGGACTGTGAAGGAAGGACTGCTAGAGGTGGTGCTAGAAAAGAAGAGGGCATGGACTATCAGGAAGGTGGAAGCTTGTATCTTTTGGCAGCAAGAAGTTGTTATCCCCACATTCAGTGGTTTGCCTGGAGAACAGATGTGGAGTGCTAACAACAGAAAAGGAAGAGCCCATTCTGTTGGTGGAAGAGACCAGGCCAGGAATCCCGAAGGTGGGGAGGATTGAGACTACTGCCATGAAGAAGCAGCAACTGGTGGTGGTGGTTGGAGACTCCCTTCTGCAGGGGATGGAGGGATGCATCTGTTGGTGTTACCTGTCGTCTCAGAAAGTCTGCTGCTTGCCTGAAGCCCAGATCCGAGAGATTACTGAGATTCGTCCAACTCTGACTACTGTCCCAAGCTGCTCATCCACGTGGGCAATGATACTGTCAGAGGTGACCCTAAGCAGATCGAATGTGACAACAGGCCTCTGGGTGCAAGGATGTAGGGGACAGGGGCATAGTAGTGTTTTCCTCAATCCTTCCAGTCAAGGTGAAGGACCCTGGCAGGTGTGGACACATCCTGCATATCGATACATGGTAGGGATTCGGCTTCTTTGACCATGGGATATTGTTCCAAGAAGAAGGATTGCTAGGAAGAGATGGGATCCACCTGACAAAGAGAGGAAAGAGCATTCTTGCAGACAGGCTCACTAACCTAGTTTGCTGGGGGATGGAGAAGTAAGCCCTGATGTAAGTGGGGGACCTGGAGGAAGCAGAAGCAGGAAGGAGCAGCAGGGGAGGCCTCATTCTTCCTGAGAAAGTAGGCCAATCTGCTAGTCACTTCAGGTATCTGTACATGAACGCACAGAGCCTGGGAAACAAGCAGGAAGAACTGAAAGTCCTCGCACAGTCAAGGAACTAGGATGTGATTGGTATAACAGAGTTGATGGGATAGCTCGCATGACAAGTGGAGTGCCCCAGGGGCTGGTCCTGGGGCTAGATTTATTCAGTATCTTCATTAATGATCTGGAAGATGGGATGCATTTCAGGGTGACCTAGACAAATTGGAGGATTTGACCAAAAGAAATCTCATGAGGTTCAACAAGGACAAGTGCAAAGTCCTGTACTTAGAACAGAACAATCCCATGTACCAGCCCGGGCCAGGGACTGACTGGCTAAGCAGCAACTCTGCAGAAAAGGACCTGGGGTTTACAGTGGACAATAAGCTGGATATGAGCCAACAGTGTGCCCTTCTTGCCAAGAAGGCTGACATCATACTAGGCTGCATTAGTAGGAGTGTTGCCAGCAGATCAAGGGAAGTAATTATTCCCCTCTATTCTGCACTGATGAAGCCACATCTGGAGTACTGTGTTTAGGTTTTGGCCCCCCTCTAAAGGGATGTGGACAAGTTGAAGACAGTCCAGCAGAGAACAACAAAAATGGCTGGGGCACATGACTTATGAGGAGGGGCTGAGGGAACTGAGTTTATTTAGTTTGCAGAAGAGAAGACTGAGGAGGGATTTGATAGCAGCCTTTAATTTTCTGAAGGGGGGTTGCAAAAAAGATGGAACTAGACTGTTCTCAGTGGTAGCAGATGACAGAACAAGGAGCAATGGTTTCAAGTTGCAGCAAGGGGGGTTTAAGTTGTATATTAGGAGAAACTCTCTCACTAGGAGGGTGGTGAAGCACTGAAACAGGTTACCTAGAGATGTGGTGGAATTTCCATCCTTGGAGGTTTTTAAGGCCTGGCTTGACAAGGCCCTGGCTGGAATGATCTAGTTGGAGATGGGTCCTGCTTTGAGCAAGGGGTTGGACTAAATGACTCCTGAGGTCCTTTCCAACCCTAATTTTCTATGATATCTGCACCTATCAAAATGCTTTATAGAAGACAGTAATATAAAATAACATGTGCATTATATGTAAAAGGAGTATTTTAAAAGAACTGCTTCAAGCATATTTTGAAGGCAGAAGGAAGTATCTACACAAACAGCAACCAAACTCCAACTAGACTAGTAACAATGGGCAAGTAACTTTTGTGTGCGTGTGTGTGCGCGCGTGCACTCAAGCATACGTGCATTTAATGCATCAGGTATCAATGGTATCAGTCAATCTGAAATGGGGTCTAATCCTAGAGTCCTAATTTGGCCTTTATCCATGTGATGTTAGTGGCACTGTCTGTAATATAAGAGCAACAACCTGGCACAAAACCTTGAATAAAATATAATTAAAGATTGAAGTATTTAAAATATGTAAAAGTTTAACCCTAATTCTCATACATACAGAGTTAGTGTGAACACCTAAAATGAACAGGAAGGCAAAATGAAAATGACAAACTGGAGAATGATAATCTGCAGATAGCTCATTTTACCTAAAGCAAACTAGCAGAATAGTTCAGAACTATATGGAAACTTCTGTCTCAGCTTCTTGTTTACAGTACAGAATATGTGCAATTCACTCAAATGACTATTCAGAAATCCTCATCTGAAAATTCAAGAGTTTCAGTAGACTTCCAGAGGAGTATAATACATCCATTTATTTATTTGTTAGTGTGTAATACAATTGCATTGCATTTAAGGCAGATTTTAAAATGCCATTTTACAAGTCTAGAATGCAATGAGGATGTTTCTTTGACCTTATGGACACCACCCATCTTGAGATATAATGTGGCTTTGAGCAGTCTACAGGGATTAAGTACAGAGAATGTGCCAGGACAGAAAAAGGGGTGCATTTATGGCTAAGGAAGCAAACTGGAAACCTTCAATGAAGCCACTGCAAACTTGCAGCTACTCTTGGCTTCAAATCTCACTTCCCATTCTACTCTATCATCTTCTGTTTCCTGCTGAAGAATAGAGCTGGGCAACTCATAGCAGAATGAATGGGAGATGATGACTTCCTATCATGGAGCCAAGTAGCAGCACTATACTGTATAGGGAGCTGCCAGGTTGTCACTTGAGTATAAAGGATTTAGGACTTTTGATACCTTGGTAGGAGGGCAAGTCAACTTAATATACCGATAATCCTATTGCAATTTGATGGTGCTATTTAATAAATCAGCAGTAAAAGAGCAAAGATATAGTCATATTCAAGAGGTGATGCTAGATGAACGGGGTAGTTCATACTCCTCAGATCTATTACTAGGCTGCCTACACATTAAACTAGGCAACATTTAATCAATTACTCCAGGGACAGCCTGTGGTGGATTTCCATCCCCAATCTCTTCCCTGTCTCTCCTGCTAGTTTTTTTCCCTCTTTCATTGTCTTCTTACCTGTCTATCACTCTGGCTGCTAAGCAGCCAGCTCTGCCTATGTGACCCAGACCAGGTGAGAGGAGGGTGGATCTTCCTTTATTGTTCTAAGCAGAGACCTCATGGCTTTGGGGTGGGGGCAGGGGCAGGCTCAGTAGCCCCTTTCACTCCACCAGGTAGTCATGATGCATTTCAAATTAGTTGGCTAGCAGCCAACAGCTGCTGGTCTTCATTGGGCCCCCATAGGCAATGTCAAAAGGTCTATAGTAAGCTAAGACTGCCCAGGAGGTAGGGCAGAGCAGCTGTGATGAAGAAACACACAGCAGCTGAAACATCTGCAGCTCTCTCCCTCAAGATGCTGAAGTGAGTAAACTGCTGAAACTTATCTAGATATATAGTTTGCTGTAAAGTAGATGCATGATCAAAGGCTACTAGCCACACTGTTTGCTCTAGGGTTATTCTGTAATACTTCTGTATCCTGCACCCTTCCCCAAGCCTTCCCTCTGTAACCAATAAAGTTCTTCACTGTACCAAGCGTGGTGGCCTTGTTGGGAGAGGCATGCCTTTGTGGCCCCTTGGTCTGGCTGACTAAGGGAGACTACTTTTTGTGCTTCAGGCTAAAGGAAGCACCCTAAGCTTTTGCAGTGGGTCAAGCACCCTCAAGATCTAACAAGGCCTGTGTGCCCCAGGGGGCACAGGGCCCAGAACAGACCATATCCCCTGGATCGTAGTGGTGGTACCCCCTGGCTTGCGGGTGTGCTCTGAGAAGGGGGTTGGCTGAACGTGAAGCGCCCCCAGGGAGGCACTAGGAGCTTGGCAGGTGGACGGGCGCAGTGAGGTGGGTGGCTCAGCACAGGAGCGCCCCCTACTGTTCTGCCACACAGCCATCCTGAAGCATGAATACTGCAAGTTTCATGGGGTAACTTGTGTGTGTGACACATGGCAGATAGGGTATGAAGCAGAAAGCACAGCAGCAAGTTGGGTAGGGAGCACAGGACAGAGAACGAATCAGGCAAGGGAAGGTGTCTGCACTGGCACTTAGAGTGGGACTTAATTTGTGGCATGCCTGCCAAAATGGTTGGCTGCCACTGAACTACACTGTTTAAATTGAAAAGGTTTTCTTCAGAGCCACAAAGTCTAGAAGCTGTTTTTCAAAACCAAACATTTAGCTTAATCACAGTTCTGCAGCAAGTAGCTGTTTTGGTGACAAATTCTACAGCTGCAGAATACAGAACATCTTGCTTATGAGAACTAGGTATTGGAAGTCAAAGGATCTGGATTATTTTGGAACCTTATATACCACGCATTGACTGCTCTCCTGAAATAAACAAACATGTTATCTCACAGAAACATCTATTCTACAAGATTACAACCTCATTTGAAGACCCTCAATAAAAGGGTTTTACAGCACACCCATTTGGGCATTTGTTACCATTACCAAATATGAAACTATCAGCAAATTTAATCACCGCATTTAATTTCTAATACCCAAAGGCTTATTAAACAAAGTAGATATTAAAAAATAAAAAATAGATCTTGATTTTGTTACTGGGCAATACACAGAAACTATGGGTATTTATAGTAGGAATTATTAAAAGCAACTAAGAAATAGAATGCTGAATCCTTACCCAGGCGGAAGAGGACCTTGATTGACTGTAGCGAGTGGCTGAGATGTAGGATTTACTGGCTGGACTTGTCTGGATACTGGAGGTGTCATCAAAGCAGAAGCTGCAGGAGCTGTTGGTTCACTTGTTGCCCCCTCAGGACTCTGTTCTGAAGGTGTATTTGTAGCTGTACCTGGCAATGATCCTGTATTAGACGCATCATTTTCTGTGGATGTAGATGAAGGGCCACTGACACATGCTATGAAATCAGAGAAAAACAAAACACTGACTCTAACTGATTTCAGGTCTCATTAATGTTTAAGTCTTAAGCAATCTATTAATTAAACAGGGTAAAAAGGTTCAGTCGCATATTCTCTCTTTCTACTTCTGGGTTTTTCTGTGTTATACCATTAGCAGAAAGGCTACATTTCTAGCACTAGCACCACCAAGACAGATTTTATATTTTCATGATGAGACTTTCCATTATCTTTAACATGACAATTTGCCCACATCCAATAAAGATAAATGTTTGTAATGGAATCCTTTACTTGCATTAACTATATTTGTGTTTTTAAAAAAAATGAATAACGAACAATAAAATACATACTCCTATGACACTATTATCTCTCATTCATTATCTAATTGGGAGGGCTGTCAGAGGTACCAGCTTTAAAAACCTCTCTTTCAATGGGACCTTACTGTCTTCTAACACTTATACTGACACCACTGACAGAAGTGCAGGGAGACCCCAAAGAATGCTGATCATGTAAATATTATCAGATGCTTATTCCCATGAGCAGTCCCCACACTGAAGGCAATCTGCCCTCTCAGCAGCGCCACCTGGCTCCATTATGACATCAACTGTAAGCACTGAGCTGGCTGGCAGCAGCTCTGGCCAGGCTGAGTATATAAGCCCAAAACCTTTGTTTGGATTTTGGCTGCTCAACACTTTCTTTCAGTCTTTGACATTTGTGCCTTTTTCCTGCCTTGGACCCCAGTACCTCACTCCTGCTTCCTCTGTTATGTGTTCCAGATTCCCCGGCTCTTGACCTCTGAGCCTACCCTTGGCTATGACTTAGATATCAGACTAGGAACATAGCTTGGACTTCCTAGTTCTGATCCCTTTGTGCAGCTTGGCTCCTGATCTGTATTCCCTGCCGACTCAGGTACAGATTTAAATTTGCACTCCTCAAGACTGCTTATGCCACAATCCTAACACTTTGACATTGCAGTAAAACATTTCTAACCAGAGGAACAATGATTAACCACCTCCCCCCCATTTTCTGGAAGTAATCCTTCAAAAAAATCCTTTGCCTATAAGAATGTAATAATTTTATCAAGAAAAATGTGATCAGCACATTTAATAAATGTTTGTGTCTGTTCAAATGCAAATTAATTCATAAATAGTTGATGTTTGACACTGCAATACATACCAACTACTGAAGCAGGTCTACGTGGGGTAGGTGGGGGGGGCCTAGTAGGCCTGGGAGGCCTGGAAGGTTTACAGTTTCCGTTTGTGAGTAATGGCGAATCACTGCCATTAGCAGTCCTGTTTTCACTGGATCCTACATCCTCACTGCTTTCTACACCATTTGTGTTAGTCCTTTGTAGGAAGAGACAGAAACAAGAATTATCCTAGAAATGTACAGAAGATATCAGAACAGATAAATTAAACTATTAATACTTTAAATAAGAAAATTATTGAATATATTACATATTATAAACCTCTCATACAATAAAATTACTGGTAATTTTTTGTAAAATATATTTATTACACTATGGCAATAACTGCTTCATAGTCTATTTCAGTCCAGACACACAGAATATACATTGTTTGCAATGTATCAGACAGGTAATAGGTAAGGAATGAAGGGGTATAAGAGGCCATATTTGGAGGAATGTATTATTGTAAACAGGAAAATACATGGGACTTAAACATTTGTAATAAATTCTCTTTCTGCTGGTAGCCTTCTTGGGATAAAAATGGTTTCATAAAAATAAGGCAATGAGTGAGTGATTCTCAAAAAATCATACATCTGTACACTGGTACTGCTGGCTTTTTAACAAAACCTTATTAAAAAAGGAATTAAAAAAAAAGTCACAGGAAATGCTTATAGATTAACGCACATTACGTGTCCGGGATGCAACTGAGAAGATCCCCAAACTCATCTGGACCTTCGACCACCACCCCACGCTACTCATTCACGTGGGCACAAACGACATGGCTTGGAACAATTCTGGCCGGGTCATGAGTGACTACCGGGCTCTGGGGGATGGGCTCAAGGGTCTGGAGGCTCAGGTAGTTTTTTCCTCAATCCTCCTGGTCATGAGTCTCGAAGGGAGAGTTGTATTGAAGAGGTCAACAAAAGACTCCAGCAATGGTGCCAGCGTGAGAGGTTTGAGTTTTCTGACCACAGTCCGCACTTCAGGGACAGAGGCAGTGGCTTGTTGAGGAGGGATGGCCTCTACCTCACCCTGAAAAGGAAGAAGCTCTTCTCGCCCATCCTGGCTGACCTACATGACAGGGCTTTAAACTGGGATTGCTGGGGGCAGGTGGTCAATAAACAGTTGTAGCCCAAGGGAACCCACTCCAAAAACAGTCCAAGGAAAGATCATGTCCCAGCACACAGGGAAGCCCAGGGCTTCCCACAGCAGCCTTAGCTGCCTGTACACAAACACCAGGAGTTTGGGAAACAAGCAAGAAGAACTGGCCCTCCTCCTGAGTGATGACAATTATGATTTCATAGGGATAACAGAGACCTGGTGGGACTCCACCTACGACTGGTCTGTAGATATAGAAGGCTATATCTTGTACAGGAGAGACCCAGTTGGGAAGAGGGGTGAGGGTGTAGCTCTCTCTGTGAAGAAGCAGTATACTTCCCTTCAAACTGAGTTTAGCAACCCAGGAAGGTGTCTTGAGACCCTCTGGGTTAAAATACAGGGGGGGGGGGGACGGACATAAGGAAGGGGATACAGTTGTAGGAGTCTATTATAGACCTCCCAACCAAGAGGAAAAGCTGGATCAGCAATTCAATAGGGAACTGGCTGAGGCTGCACGCTCTCAATGCTTGGTCATCATGGAGGACTCCAACCTCCCCAACATCTTGTGGGAAAAGCACGCGGCCACATCTGACTGGTCATGTTGCTTCCTTGCTTGCACTGATAAGCTCTACCTAATGCAGAGGGTATACGGGTTGACTAGAGGAAAGGCACTGCTGGATCTGGTTCTGGCCAAAGGGCATGATCTGGTGAGTGATCTGAGGATCAAGGGGAAGCTTGGTGACAGTGACCATGAATTGATTACTTTCACTGTCCAACAGGGTGTGCAAATGTCTCAGTAAAACAGAAATCCTCAACTTTGAGAAGGCTTGACTTTCAGAAACTCAAGAGACTGGCCAGCCAGGCACTAAGAGACCATGGCCCCTTAGAAAGGGGAGTCCATGAGGAATGGTTGTTTCTTAAAAACACCATCCTCAAAGTACAAGGAAAGTCCATTTCATCCTGCAGGAAATGCAGTCAGTGGGCTGGTGAGCCCTTTTGGCTCAATAGAGAACTTCTGGACCTCCTGAAACTAAAAAGAGAAGCCTAGACTAGATGGAAAACAGGAGTCATCACCAAGGAGGACTACACAGCACTAGCCCACACCTGTAGAGAGCAGACCAGAAAAGCCAAGGCTAGGGGTGCATTGATAGAGATTCTGGGGGCCAATACCGATAGCCTATATTTAAGGAGGCATATTGCTGATACTGATTCGATTTCCGACACAGCAGCTAGTAAGTCTGGTGTGGTGGAAGGGGGGGAGGGGCAGATCAACACCCCTGGCAGTGAGGGAGGGGGCAG